AGAAGGGTCTCATTTAATTCTGGTTGGATAAAATTAGATTAATGTACCAAGTTTCTAATCAAGAATTATGGCAGTCTGTTGCATTTACCTTTAAACCTGAGGGAGTGATTTGGTTTTCTGAACGTTGGTAGTAATTTGAAATAGAAAAGACTAAATAAAGTGACCTTTGAATGAAACAGGTCTAGAAGATTGTGTATTTTTAATTAAAATATGCAATTAAAATTTTAATTAAAGTAGACTATTAAAAGCAATGTAGGTGGCAAGGGAATGGCTGATGCTTTGAATTACACACAGTTTGGGATAAATTGGCATTTACCGTGTTTCCCACAGTAGCACTTTGCCACTCAGCGGATTCTGTTCTGTTTTCTTCTCCCTGCTCTGTCCCCTTTGCAGCTCTCTGTGGTCCTGGGTCCCACTTAGAGGCTTGTGGAGGGTTTCAGCTCTGTGCTATAGATCACTTGACCCTGGTTCTGAGCCGCCTGTTCATAACTGTTCTCCTTATGCCAGGAGCATAAGTGATTTTTCTGTGTCTTGTGAAAAGGGATCCCTTTCTGTAGCATATATTGGTAGATTAAAAAGGAGGGTGCAAAACAAAAGGCATTCTCATACAACAGTGTAGTCCAGAAGATGTATGCTGAAGGTTTCAGCGCCTCCAGGAAGGTCATAAGTTGTGTGACTGATCAGACAGCAGCTTTCTGTGGTGAAGATCGAGAACCCCTGCCTTGGTCTGTTAGGACCGAGACTTGGAATCAATGGCTTCAAAATCCTTGAGCATGTATGACCGCAAGTAGCCTGTGAAGACAGCTGGGGACAAGTGATCTTGACCCTGTTCTTCATATTAAGTTACCAGGACAAATTTTTTGGCTTCTAAACATAGGATTTGTTTATCTTAGTCTTTTTATTTTTATTTATTTATTTGCGTTGTGAAAAACTTTAGTTTTGTCATTTTAGTCTGAATTTTCTTTTTATCATGTTAGTTTCCATAATGGTTATACTTGGAATTTAAATGCAGAGCTTTATAAAACTTTTTAAAGAAGCGATTCTTGGTTTTGGGATTATCAATATGCACATTCTAAATTCAGAGAGACTTGAAAAATAGATCTGGATGATATGGATAAATGGTGCTTGGTTTCCAAGTCTTCCTGGTGGCTCGGGACTGTTACTAACTGATGAATACAAGAGTGAGAGAAGTAGATCCAGGCTAGGTATTTTTTCTTAATGTTTGACTTGCAGCTGTTTTTATTTTTTATAAATCTGCACTCACTTATAATATCCAGAAATATGCACTACATAAATAAGGTGCAATTTATGTTGTCATAGGAATGAGTAACACCAGAAAAATTCACATATAGTAAAACTGATATTTCTACATAAAGTACAGAAATGTGAGATAGTTGCTCCAAGAAGCAGATTTTCTTTTTTTTTTTGGTGGTAAAACTCTGAAAATGCCTGGTTGCGTTATACTTCAGACATATTGATGATAGTCTGGATTCAGGCGTAAACTAGTTGTGAATTGAGTAGAGAGGACATAGCATTTGAGAGTCCTGGATTCAAGACCTGACTCTACTACTTCTACCTGCCTTTTTGATTTATAGAAGCTGATTGACCTTGTCATACTTTAGTTTTCCTGTCTACCTTGTAGGTGAGGAATCTGAATGTTGAATGGTTAATGTGAAGCTACAATTAAACAGTAAAATACCATGTAGATGAAAGGTGAGAATGGGGAGTCTTGCCTATCTTGGTATCGTCTGTGATGCCTTTATACATCTTAAGCATCCAGTAAATATTTGCTGACTTGGTTAACTCACTTTATAGTTAATCTGTACAGTTCTTAGCCGAGCGTTATGGCGGGTGCCTTATAGTCCCAGCTATTTGGGAGGCTAAGGCAAGAGAATCAGGTTGCTGTGAGCTGTGACACCACAGTACTCTACCAAGGGTAACTAACTGAGACTCTGTCTCTAAGAAAAAAAAAATCTGAGAATGAAGGTTGCTGTGAGCTGTGACACCACAGCACTCTATTGAGGGTGACAAAGTGAGACTCTGTCTCTTAAAAAAAAAAAAAATCTGTGCAGTTCCTAACTGCTTTGTGTTATGGTGCCAACATTTTAATCCATCTACAACAGGCCAGTTCAGGAATGCAGCCTTTTAGTGGAAGATACTCCCTTTCATATTTTACTTAGGAATTGAGTATATCATAAGTTTTCAGGAAGTAGAAATTGGACTCATTATTGTAGCTAGCCGTGATTGCTTGAGGGAGTCAGGTTAAAGACCCATTTCACAGATGATCCATCTGATAGTGATGTTGATTAATAACTTCGGTTAAATAAATAACATCATTAAGCTTTTCATTTATTCATTTAGCAAACCTTTGAGTACCTGTAACAAGCTAGGAATAAGAGTTCAGAGGCCAGCATGGGACACAGCTAAACAGGAACGAGATAGGATGGGCTTTTCACCTTACCCAGTAACCAACTGCAGGGAGCAATGCTGTGTCTGAGTCTGACCTTGGGTGGCTAATAAACTGTTTCTTGGAAATGATGGATAACTTGAAGGTTTTAGAAAAAAGACATCTGTATATCTTAACAGTGTAACTATAAAAAGGTAGCCTTTCCTGCAGAATTAGTTCACATATCCAGACTATCAGCACTTGGCCCTTTTCCGGCTCCCAAAAGCCCACTTGTAGCCCGGGATTATAACCATTGAAATAGCGATTTCTCAGTGTAGTGGTGGTTCTGGTGAGTGGTTCTCTGTTAGTCAATAGGATTTTATTGAATAAGAAAATGGTGCCATTGCTTCATGACAGACCAATAATATCAGAAGCTAAACTGGGAAGGTGGCTTGAGACTGAGAGTTCACCCCTAGTTATCTAGCCTGGGCAACATAGGGAGACCCCATCTCTAAAATTAAAAAGAAAAAAAAAATTAGAATCTTTGAGAGTGGGATTTTTTTTTTAAGCTTTTTGGGTGATTCCAGTGTGTAGCTAAGGTTGAGAATGTGCTATGATTAGGAGCTACTAGTGCAGGTAGAAGGATGGTAGGAGAATTGGGTTCTCTGCTGATACTAATGAGAATTTGGTTTATTTATCCGTAGAAGCAGTAATGTGATAAAACTACCTACTACAACGTTTGGCTTGTCCTTTATTTTTCCTTTATATTTGCAGCATCTTCTTGATTTAACTTGAAATGAATACACTTCATAACATGTAGTAGACATGCCATTTTTCCTCACATTATCTTTTGACACTGGTCCACTATCTTCAGTAATGAGCATTATCATTGTCTCAGCCACCTAGTTGGGTAGAAACTGTTACCATTTTTAGAGATAAGGAAGCTGTTGTTCAGAGGTTGAGTAATGGCTTCAGAGTCACACAGCTGGTAAACATCAGAGCCAGAGTTGAAACTCCTGTGTTTCTGTCTCCAAAGTCTGTATTTGTTTGCATCATAAACTGGTACCTCAAGCAGATTTTCGTGTAACGAGTTTGAATCCTACTCAGTAACACTAGAACTGCAACTTATTTGCAGAAGAGGGCACAATGCATTCAATGCATTCAGTAGACACAGGATAATGTGTATTGAATATCATGAGAAGCTGGATGCTTGAAGATACAGTTGTTCGCATGTGACTTTTTTTAATAGAACTGTGAGTAAAATAAAAACCTCTGTGAATTTTAGTGTGAAGGAAAGAAGGTGAGCTAAATTAGTTTTTAGTTCTCTCCTCTTGGTTCTTTTTTTAAAAAGCAAAAAATAAATTTTGGTAAGAGGGGACCTGTTAGCAATGATTATCCTAACTTAGGGTTGTGATTCCCAAAGTAAAATGACAGTTTCCTTCCTGGGTACCATCTGCAGCCTTCCCCTTTTGTTTGTGTGTGCTCCCTAATGCTGGCTCCACATTCAGATCACCAGGGCGGCTGTCCTGAATACCGGTACTCACAGTCACCTGGACCTAGGGAGCCCCATCAGGAACAAATCCCTTACTTGCCTCTGAAATTAATAATAAGTATTAATAACTAAGAATAAATGTATTTAATAAAAAGCATTTGGACCTTTCTTGGGCATCTTCCAGGAAATTTCAGTTTGTTTTGACTTTTAGTAGACCAAGTCTTTTCTTAGGCCCACTATGGTCAGTATGTTTCTCATCTTTTTAAACCGACAAACTTTTCCTTAGTTGAAAAACTGAGACCTGGGAGGTTGGGTTCACTTTGGTGTCACTCGGCTGCTTCCAAATGCTTGATACCTCCTATTATTCTGAGTTGTACCGCTGAGGCACGGGTGGCGAGAGGGCTCTGGTGAAGGGGAGAAAGCAGCAGCAGCAACATAGGCTTATTTCCAGACTCTACTGCAGACGTACTGCGTTGTGACTTGTTCTTTTTCTTCGTTTCCCACATGTTCTGGTTGGCTTGGGTGTCATCACTGTAAATCTTTGTGTCCCTAGCTTCCTGTATAATCTATATCATAAAATCCTGTTTAGAAAACTTGAGTTTATTCGAAGAAACCCTCCTCTAAACATACATGTGTACATATATCTATGTAAATACACACACAGTTCTTCACCATTTAGATTCTAAGATAATTCACCTTGGTAAAAGGCTGTAAATTTGTCGGGATACAATTTATAGAACACTGACAGAGTTTTGATGGATGTTTGCCATCTTCCTATTTTATGGCCGAGGAAACTGAAGCTGAGGTCTTGCCCGTTACAGTCTCAATAGCTCAGCTGAGATTTGTACCCAGAGTTTCTGAAGCTGAGTGTTGTCTTGCTGCACACTCTGGCTCAGGCAGGGCACGTATGATGGAACACTTTGGAGATGTATTATTATTATTCTTTAAACAGCCTTGCTTTTAAACTTGCAAATGTAGTAGACAGGAGACAAAAAAAGACTATATTTCTGGAAGAATTAATGCCGAATTCTTTTTACTGTTAAGAAAACACGCAGGTGTTAATGATAAGACCGTAGTTGTGTATAACTAATGTATATGCCTTTTCCCCTTCCTTTTCCTTAGGGCAGAGCTTGGGATATGGTTTTGTGAACTACATCGACCCCAAGGATGCAGAGAAAGCTATCAACACTCTGAATGGATTGAGACTTCAAACCAAAACAATAAAAGTATGTTTATACTTTAAAAAAAATCTACTTATAGAACAGGGAAAAAAAATCTACTTACAGAACAGAAGTTAAAAAAATTAAGCTTGCAGCTCTTTTCTTTCTTTATTTTGGGTCCGTGTAAACACGTCTCTGGGAGGCATAGCAGGATTTTTTGGTATTGTGTTATGGGGGAAACTGTTTATTCATGAGTACTCTATGTAAATTACTCACGTATTAAGAAAGGGCGAGAGCAGCTGGTAACTACTTTATGAAGCCTTAATTAAATCTCCTTCCCTTTTGGAGAATTACCGTACCTTAGACATTCCTATTACTAAGCCCTATAACTTTTAGAGTAGTTCTTCTGTAAAGGGGAAGGTTACACAGCCAGTACGAGTCTGTCACAACTTCTCAGCTCTGCTTTTGTACCATGAAAGCAGCTATAGCCGCTTCTTAAATGAATGGGCGTGGTGCTGAGCCAATAAACTTTATGTATGGGCACTGAAACTTCAGTTTCATATAATGCTCATGTACAACAAAAGATTCTTTTAATTTTTTTCCCAATTTAAAAAAAATGTAAAAACCATGTTTAGCTTATGAATCATAGAAAAAAAGGTGGCAGGCTGGATTTGGTGTTTCAGCTCTGTCCTGAGAGATTCAGCTTTCATTGAGGAGACTGATGAGAAGAACTTCAGGTTATTTTTCCTGTTATATTTTTCTTTTCAAGGCATACAGTAAATCTTGTGGATACTTTTCTGCTTTTGTGAATTTTTGAAATTCTTACATAGATTCTCTCTGGATAAGAAGCTATTCCAATTCACAGCATAGATTTCTTTTCCTTTAGGGGGATGTTGCCTTTAGCAAATTCTTAGTCCTCATACCATCATTTTACTTTCTCCTGCCCGGTGCAGACGTGGTGCGTTAGTCATGGCACTACTTCTCACTGAGTCTAAATGTGGCTCCCAAATATTTTTCAAAATAATGTACCAGACAACTTCTATCAATTGACTCAAGTTAGAGCCTATTTTCCACCCTTGATTTAAGAAGCCAGCTCAGACTATAGCCTGAAGTGGTAAGGGGAAGTTAGTCAAGGCTGACTATGCCATCTGTCTTCCTAAGGGACTTGTCTAGAAGATTTCAGCTCATTTTTTCAGGTGTCTGGAAATGCAGTGTCATCTCTGTGCTTTCAAGTTGCTTCTTTTAGAATTGTCAGTTAAGGTAATTCGTTAGCCCTGGGTAGTTTTGACATACCATTCTTTATATTTATTGGACTAAAAAATGCCTACCAGCTCTGTCTTATTTAAAGGAAACTATGTATGGTGGCGTGCAAATACACTTGGACGTGAGATGTCCAAAAATACTAAATATTTCTTGATCAAGCAAATGTCCTGTGAAAGATTCTCCCTTCAATCAGAAAATGAAGTGGTTACGGTGTTATCAAAGTGGAGGGAAAAATTAGATTTGTAATACAGTCTCAGATAAAGACTGAAGTTTGTTTTGATGTTTTATGAACTAGACTGCTCTAATTGTGCACACTTCTCTGCATAGTTTTTGTGTCAGAGATTAATCTTTTACAAGGCCTGTTGGGTTATAATTGAGTGCCATCCAGTCTGGTTACCCTCAGACTGTTTTGTGTGCTCAATCCTATAACACAATTTTGCAAGCTTTCTCTCCCCCAGCCTATATTGCTGCTGTTGTAATTTGTTTTAGTTCTGAGGTCCTGAGTTGAGAAGAAAAGGGAATAGATGGTTTGGGATGGCTCACCCTAGGAAATATCCTTTTCTCTGTTCCAGAAATAACCTACTCTTATTTCATTCTAGTGAGTGAGTGCTTTTGCTGCATATCCTGACCGCACTAAGATCTAGAACAGTGGTTCTCTACCTTCCTAATGCTGGGACCCTTTAATACAGTTCCTGTGGGTCACAACCCATAGGTTGAGAACCACTGATCTAGCCGGTAGAAATGCTGGGGCAACAGATCGGTAGGAGACATGCACATGGCCTTCCAGGAGGCCGTTGGTGACAGCTGCTTCCTCACTGCCCGTCATGCAGCCTTCTAGCTTCAGGGCCCAGCTGCTCAGGCTAAATACATAGATGAAAGGACAGTAATGCCTTGTGGCTTTTGCACTGTGACATCTGCTCCTTCTGAGTTTCTGAAGTGAGGGTGATGAATAAACAGCAGGCTACTCCTTTCCCTCCTCCCATTTGGTTCCTGCAAAAATATCAGATAATAGCTAGTATCCTCCAATTTGGCCCCAATTTTCTTTGAGAGGCAAAGCAAACCATTTTCCAAACGTATATGGCATCACTTTTGCCTGTTTCTTCTTTCTGTGTTTACTTATTTTTAATTAGACAGGTTTTGTGTTCTAATACAATGTCTCCAGCCAGATTTTTCTAGTATTCACAGCATTAGGTATCTTTTGGAAGCTGCCTCTCTATTTTCTGGGATACTGTTATACAACTTAGTCTCCCTCCTCCAGTCCATCCTCATGATGGTTGTCAGGCTGATCTAACAAAGCACCACGTTCCTCATGTTGCTTTTCACTAGGAATTCTGTCACGTTTCTCTGCCGTCTTACCATATCATCTGGCTAAGCTTTGGAGGAGTGACACCAGTGCTCTTGCTGTTCTCCACTGAGGTCACGCTGGCTCTTCACTGGCAAGCTGAGCTTATTCCCGGACTCTGTCATACGTTCTTGGAGTTTCATTTCCTACTGTACCCTTTCCCACTCACTTTTAGTTTACTTGTAGCCATGTCCTTTTGGGGAGCTCATCTGAAGTCCTTCCTTCAGCCACTGCCTTACCTGGTTGCTCCAACTTGTGTTGGGTTCTTTCTTTGAAGTTTGTGTTCTTTACCCATGAAGAATCACAGA